CAAAAAAAAAAAAAAGCATTAATTCAATTGACATTAACATAATAAGAATATATATATATATGACGATATATATATATATATATCGTCAAATAGAACTGCCCGGTAAACCGTAGGCAGAGAGGGAGAAGAGGACAACAAACGAGGGGCTGTGAAAATATATATATATATATATATATATATATTTCAAAAACAGGGCCTTATGGTCTTGCCTCCTATCCATTCTGGGGAGCATCTGTCCAGTTCCTATTCCACCGACAAGTCAGAATAAACAATACAACCAATAAACACACACGCTTCCTCCCGTCTGGCTGAAGGACCCCTGAACAACATTGATTACTCCAGACTGCTGGAGGATTGACTGTCAGCTTGCCATGCTTCCCTCTTACCTCTCAGATCTATTCACTAGATGTGCCAGATATAACCGTAGCAGCAAGAAAGAGGTTACCCATTACCCAGGCTAACCCTTAGGTCTCCTACTTCGACTTCACCTCTATGTCTCATTACCCCCTTATCCTCCTCATCCCCCGTTACCGAAGTGGCATCCTGTTCTAAACCCTGAACCCCAAACCCTCGTCATATAAAAGAGTTTTCTGAGCCCACTAAACCGCCAACACGTCCCCTCGAACCAGTTTCCAGGGGTCTCTGACCTCCTTGCCACTGTTGGCTCAAATGGACCACATTTCCCTTTTTTAGAACAAAATTTTGCTATTCTGAACCCTATTTGCCCCTTTTCCATTTCCGTTTCATCTCCTTCTTGGTTGGGCTCACTTTAATTCTAATGGTAGCCTAAGTTCCTGTATCGACCGCTGAACATCTATAGTGTCGTCCTGGTGCTCCTCTTTGAACCAATGAAAGATAAGTCTTTCCCCTTCAACAGTCGCGACTTTGCCTTGGGCTAATACCCTCTTGTGAAATTTAGATAAGGTATCCTTTGTGAAATTTAGATAAGGTATCCTTTGCCTTTCCTGGGTTAAGCGCCAATTGCTTCTTTATTCTTCTCCACAATGCCCTAATCTCTGTCTCCAACAAGTTATAGAGAATTGCCTTGGCTTCCCTTCTTGTCACTAGAGTCTTACCCACCACCTGTTGACATCTTCGTTTCCAGATTGTCCATAGAGTGTACTGTCTCAGGAGCTGAAAGATATATTTGTGGCCTGATCTCCATCCTTTAGGGAACTCACTTCCAATCAATATTAGTTTTTTGTTACTTGGAAAGGGGACGTCCGTAGTATGTGCCCATAATGCCCTGGATATGGACCAGAGATGTTCTGCTTCCGGGCAATAGAGCAAACAATGGATCAGAGTTTCCGACACCCCTCCCGTACACATAACACAGTCCTGATCCGCCTCATTCCTATTGATCCTGTTTCTCTTATTGAATAACCAAACATTGACTGGGAGTGCTACGTGAAAGATAAGCCACTGCATACTCTTGACCCTAGGTAGTCTGATGTTGTGCAAAGTTGACCATGGTAACTTTTCTACTTGGTCCCTAGGTATATCCATGCTATTCTCCCATCTTCCTGCCAAAACCTGGTCCAACTGGCGTGATCTCCCCCTCAGACGGTAGCCCACTATAGTACTGTACTGAAGTATATTGATTCTCCTACTTACTGTTGACGAACTTCCCCTGATGTTCCACGCCCACTCTGCTGGATCGATTTCCAGATCCCTAATTGATGTCAGTGGTTCAAATATTGTAAAATCTTCATTCTCCACCACTCTGATCTTTCTCAAGATGCTTTTCTTGATGACTATCGGAACCCGCGAATCCCTATCCAACTTACTGACCGTGAGTCCTGGAGAACGTATTGTGTACATATCTGCTTCCACCCACTGGTTAAAAGGTCCGACCTCCTTTCGTATACAAAAAGGCAGCCTCTGGTATTGGTAGAGGTTAATGTTGCCCAATCTCCCCCTCCCCATTTGTCCGGTTCCTTCAATATCGTTGTCCACTCATCCGGGATGGAGATGAGAATGTCATTCAAGTTTTCCGTTAGTTTGTGACATCCTTTCATTTCCTCTCTCAGCTCCCTACCTGTTTTCCATCCCCCCTTGTGGTCCGACCAGAGATGTTTTACCTGCCATACACCATGTTCTAACCACTTCCCCCATTTGGCGTCTTTCGCTGTTAGTGTTTTTGGCCTTCCTTGAGAGTCTTTTAACCACGGATTACAAAATAGCGGTTGTCTGAGCACCTCATCCTTCGTCCTCGGTTTTCCTACTCTTGCCGGGAAGACCTCTGCCCATATTTTGAACAATTGAGCCCAATATGTACCCCTAGTTGCTCTTTGGTCTACTACTTGATCCCCAGTTTTATCCTTCTTAGTCCAACCCTTGCATAATAACCAAAATGTACCCTTCATATTGGATGGCGTTTTATATATTGCCATCTGACGTATGTGATCGAGTACCAATGGGACCCATCAAAGGTGAGGCTGTGTTAACAACTTTATGATCCACTTAGTTTGAAGTGCCCTTATTTGCTGCCCTAGATCCAGGACTCCTAACCCTCCCTTATCCTTTCGTTGGATAACTTGGTTCCATGCCACCTTTGATATAAAGTTGAGTCTCGAAGGGTTTGCTGTCCATAGATATGCTCCCGCCATGGGTGTGTGTGTGACCCTCCTGGGTACTTGCTGCTGGAAAGTCCCTCGCTCCTGGTACTTACCTGTGGCCGAGCTATTTGGGGAATCTTTTTAAATAGAAAGAATATCCTTATTCCTCAAGTCAACTGGAATTTCCTACAACAATGTATGGAGACAATGGGGGTGGGTACTAACTTTCGTAAATGGATACGTGTACTTTATAATGACGCACACGGGCAGGTCCAGGTTAATGGCCACATATCACATCGATATAAAATGACAAGGTCAGTAAGGCAAGGGGACCCTTTAGCGGCTCCTATTTTCTTGTTTATAACGGAAGCTATTGCCTCATTCCTCAACAAAGACCCTTCGATCGACCGTCTGATTGCGGAGCCAGATCACCAGGGACGAGTCATACATTTACCGACAACGATATTATTTGCGGATGATCTGACAGTACTAATCAGAGCAACGGATTCTTCTTTCCAAGCCCTTACGAGAGCGATGGCGACATTCCAGCTAGCATCGGAAATGAGAATTAACTGCCAGAAGACGTTGGGGTGGTGACTATCACATGATGACCAACTGTCACAGTATCAGCCACAAAATTATGAAGGGATGACGTGGTTACCACAGGATCAGACATTGAGATATTTGGGTATCAGAATGTCGGGTGAGGGTCCCCATCATTCTATGGCGCCAGAACACATGACAAAAATGTTATTAAAGTTGGCGACGTGGTCAGAAATACATACCTCATTATTCGAGAGGGCATTGGTCATAAAGACACGGAAACTCAGCGGTCATGCACTCAGATGTACTTAGAAATCTCAGCAAAATGTGGGAATCTCAGCAAGTCACACAATCCAGCGGCAAAACTCAGAAAACAGCAGAGTTCTCAGTCTGTGTTTTTACAGGTCATTACACCATTGGAGAAAGGCTACGGCCACCGTTACTACTATTGAAAGACTAGGCTAAGTCAAATAGGGTATTGTGGGCCTGGGGAGGGCAGACTTCCTGGAGGAAGGGACGTAGGGGGAGAGGTTGGAGGTTGACAGGGGGAAGGACCAGGAATGGGAGGTAGGATCACAGAGAGGGTAGGCATGGCTAGACCCCTATACGGGCTGAAGGGCATATGTTAGGGAGGAGAAGGATAGCTGTAATGATGGTGGTGGTTTTTTTTGGGACTCTTCTGTCTGAGTGGTTACGACCAAGCTTGAGATTTGCGGCCTGAGAGGCTACTAGGAGGGCCTCCCCCTCGCCTTGCCCTCCCTAAGGCCCTTCCGCTGCGTGACTGGGTGCCAGTAAGCTTCCCAGGCAGCAGAAGTCCGCTAGAAAGGCTATGGTTTGGGGGGAGGGGGTCGGATTGAGCAGGTGACCCATTCCCCCGTACTGCAAGGGCTGCTGATCCTTCTTCATTTCGACTCTTTCGCTCTTCTCTTGTACTCATGTTTGCCGGTTAAGCAACCGGACTGATGCCCCCCAGAATAGGAGGGGCTTGTGTGTTTTGTAAAACAAACAAAAAAAAAGATATCATCACTGTAACTGCCCCCGCCCCCCCCCCCAGGTAATTCAGAGTTGTTTTACTTATCTGATTCAGGCTTCAAACTCAGGTCCGTCTACATTTCAATGCTCCCTTCCCCGAGCACCCCTTTCAAACCCTCTCCTGGACTAACATTCCAAATCTGTTTCAAAAGTTAGAAAGATTGCGGTTCGGACTGATCAGGAAGGTGGCACCCAAGATCATCTGAAAGGAAAGAGGCTGCAGGACTGTCGAGGGTCAGCCCAACTCAAGAGAGAAGGTACGGGCGCAGTCAAGATATATGCTACAGGCTGAATTCCGGGTAGAAGACAGAGATGAAGGCAGACGAGGCCCGAGGTTGAGGATCAGCACGAGAAGGTCAGGAAGAAGTTTTAATGGGCAGGGGTTGGAGAATGGCAAAGCGGCAGAGTTACGGAACGTTCGAGTATGCTGGAAAGAATGGCACAACTCAGAAACAGGAGGGAGAGCCCAGAACACACCCGAAGCGGATAAGAGGATGAGCTGAAGTGATAAAATTACAATTCAGGCCACTCGAGCGGCCAAAGACAAGGCAAACCGGTAGCCTCAGAAAAAATATTTCAAGGCGAGGGTTTAGGGTTTAGGGTTTTGAAGGTGCTTTGATAATGAGAGATAAGGAGGAATAGGGGGAGACGGGACATATGGGTAAGGTTGAAGTCTCGAAGCTCAAGGATTATCCAGAGTTTGAAGGTAAGCTCTTTCTTGCGGGCATGGGTTTATCTGGCAGATCTAGGGGACAGATCTGAGAGGAAAGAGCGAAACACGGCAAGCTGGCAGTCAATCCTCCAGAAGGCTGGAGTAATCAATGCTGCTCAGGGGTCCTCCGGCCAGACGGGAGGAAGCGTGTGGCTTCTATGATGTAATGTTTATTCTGACTTGCCGGTGGAATAGGAACCGGACTGCTGCTCCCCAGAATGGAAAGGAGCCGGGACCATAAGCCCCTGTTTTCTTGTAAGAAAAAAAAAAAAAACTCAGGTCCGTTTTTTATCATCAGTTGAGAGGTGTAACATTCAGCCACATTAAACAAGCCCTCCCCATTCTTCCCTGTTAGTTAATGGAAATTATGCTCCCAACCTGCCTGTTAGCTGTAGCGACCCATTACCTTCCCTCCCTCTCCCACCTAACTTCTTAAGTTCTTTTTCGTTTTTTCCCGACGAATGGAATGGTTGCTGGACGGAAGTTGAGTGCACAGGCCATCAGAATTGGCACAGGAAGACAGTAGGACCAAAGCAGGAGTCCTCCTACCTTAAGAACATTGCTGAAAGATGTGAAGTCAAGCGAGTCCGAACAGTTGAACACGACGCATGCTTTTCCAATAGATTTCGCAAGGTCTTTGAATGTTTCTGTCTTGCCAGATCCTGGAGGGCCACACACTGCACCACCAAGCGACATTTGGAATGCAGTCAGCAGTCCCAAAAAGCACCTCTCTGTGAGCCCAGTGATGACCAATCTGCTTCTGTTTCCGACATACTCGTACCCATACATTCTCCCTGCATCTGCAATTTCAACAGTGCAGTTGCCATGCACAGCCTCCCTGTAATAACGTATGCACCGTCGCCATCGAAAATCATCAACACCTTGGGGCATGTCAACCACAAGTCGGCGGATTGTGTCTCTCAAATGAATCCCGAGGATGGCCATGCTACGCCACCCCTCCATCTCTTCACTTGAAACATTCTTCCGCACAAGGTCGGTCACCTTCATCAATTGATCATTCATCATGTCTCCCAGCTTCTGCAACCCGGTCTTTGTGTTCTCCATGATGACAGCGAGGTTCTGAGGGTGGTTAGCTTTGAGATTCTCAAACCTGCTTGAACCAGAACCAAGCCCTCCTCCTCTGAATCCCAGGCTGAACCACTCCCAGTCCCCATACGCACCGTCATCGTCACTGTGAGCACTGACTTTCTTAAAACAGCCCAGAATGCTTTCGACCCTGTGCGAAAAGAGAACTTGTGAAGCGACCAAGATGGCCTGGTTGGGCCTCGTGTATTGCAGCTGAGCTGGCATTTGTTTCATCTGTCCCTCACTCTTCGTGTTCATCGACTCCTTATCATCTCTCTGGTTCATTTCTTTTCCAGAAGCGTCTCTAGCCTTTGCTCCTCCTTCCGCTTCCTGGACTTTCAGCTTAACGATCCCAGGAGGATCCATGGTAAGACCACCTTCCTTAGCAGAGTCAGCTTCCCCTCCTGAAGCTGCTGGTAGGAAGGGAACGAGGAGGCCCTCTGTTTGGATTAGTTGCTCAATAAGTGTCCGCAACTTCTCCCTCATCGTGCGTTGCATCTCAGCCTCAGTCTCAGCCAGCCATCTCTCCAGGGGTTCATCAGCAGTTCCAATCTTTGCTAAAAAATCCAACTGCTCACCCTCACTTGATCTCATCCCAACCACCTCTCTACTGGCAGAGAACTCTATGCTCTGAATGCTGTCAAAACATTTGCACAGAAAGTATTGGATTGGTCCAAGATCTTTTTCATGGCTCACAACCTGTAACAGAGGAAACAGACCGCTGTGACATGTTTCAGACCCAGAGGGTTACCCAAGTATAGTAAGACCATGGCTACTTCGTACAGGGCCACTGCATCCATCCAGACAGCAGATCATGAGGTGCACTAAAAAATGTGTTTCATTTTCGTTTTGATTTTTGTTTGTTCACAACCTGCAACAGAAGAAACAGACCGCTGTCACACATTTCAGACCCATAGGGTTACCCAAGTGCAGTAAAGACATGGCTACCATCTTCACCCGAATAGAACACCCGGTCATTATCGCTGCATCTGGACAGAAAATGGCCCCAAATACGGCTATAATGACCGGGCGTTATATTCAGGTGAAGATGATAGTCAGGACAAAAATGCTCTAAAAAAATAAAAATTGCAAGAATCAACTTTGTTTTTAAGTTAGTTATGAACTTATGAAGTTATGATCCTTTTTTTTTTTTTTCCCAAAACAGGTCCTTATGGTCCTGGCTTCATATCCATTCTGGGGAGCGTCAGTCCAGTTCCTTTCCACCGGCAAGTCAAAACTTGGAATGCATGGTGAACACTCTTACACTTCCTTTCGTCTTGGCCGAAGGAACCCTGACCAGCATTGATTGCTCCTGTTTAGGAGGATTGACTGTCAGCTTGCCCTACCCAAGTTTCCCTCTCAGAAGCCCTTCCGGATCTGTCGAATATATCACAAAGAACAAGAAAAATTGGGAGAGTCGTCTATCTTGGTGAGACTACAGTCTCGAGTTGCCCTTACGGGATTGCATTCCTTGTCGTCGTTGCATTGTGCCATTTTGTTGTCTGTCACTGTTGCAATCTTTCCCTGAAGTAAACAGTCCCTCAGGAATATGTGTCTCCTGAGTGCGAACCTTTCTGGTCTGCCTTTCGTGGCTGTCAGCACCCCCCTCCATCTGCTTTGAATCTCTGTTTCTGCCATCCTCAACAGTAGGGTCCACATTTCTTCCCTTGCCACTTCTGATCCCTTGATTGTCTTGGCGCACCTCCTTTTCCAGATGACCCACAGAGCCAGTTTCCTGAGCAGGTGGAACCAGACCTCCTTGCCGCCTCTGAGTCTGTTGGGGGTGTTAGATAGGAGTCGGATATTCTGAGGAGTGGTGGCGGGGGCCGGTGATGAGAAGAGGAGGAACCATATTCCATATCCAGGCTGCTTCAGTGCAGTAAAGGAGGCAGTGTGGTATGTCTTCTGGCCTGTTGTCGTTGCACAGTACGCATAGTTCCGAGCTGTCAGGGTCCTTGTGTTTTCTCCTCTTGTGGAGCCACTGGTTGACAGGCAGAGCTGTGACAAACCAATTCCTGTTCTGCGCAATTTTCTGCGCGACGACAACAAGGGGTCCTAAGCTGGGAAGGTTGGGCCAATTATGGGAGATGGGATCTAACGGGAAAATTGCATCGGTGTCCTTGTTTGTTCTTCTTTTTACATCGCTTCTTTTCGGATGGCTGGGTCCAGGGCTGGGCAAGTCCCGGGATGGTCGATTGGGTGGCTGGCGCGCCGACGGAGGCGTGATTAATAATGGTTGACGTCGTTTCTTTCTTGTTCTACTGTCGAGTTTTCGGCGCGGTAATCGCGCGGGAGTTTTGCTTCTTTCTTTTTGAATTTCTTTTTCGAATCTTGTCGAGCCCTCGATGGCTCTCGAAATTTCGGATTTTCCTTTCGGATTTTGTGCTTTATTAAAGTTCTTTTTGCATTTTTGCATTAGATAGGAATTTAGGAATTTAGGAATTCGAAATTTCTTTTGCCACACGGTGCTTTTTGCTCACGCGTTTCTTTCTGCGGCTGCAACGGAGCTCTGATTAGTCGGCGTCCTTAATCGTATGCGCAACTGTAATTTTTGGACGGGCGCCATTGTAACTGTATCTTTCTTCTTGAGCTTCGTCTTTCCCGCCTTCCGTTTTCTTTCTGTTGCTTCTAGTTGGCCTGCGGGCTGCATGATCAGATCGATGCGTGGAGAGTGGCTACGTCCCCCACGCCGCGATCTGGCCATGCAGAATGCAGGCACTCCCTCCCCTTCTCTCCCTTTCAAGTCCTTGAAATTCCGTGTCCGTCGCGCATGCATGCACGCTATAAATTTCGGCTGCGCGATTAGATAGCTCTCTTAAACAGTTGCTGGAAGCTCGGGGTAGCGCGATCAGTGAGGGTCGGCTCACGAGTGAAGTAAGAGGTGAGTTGAAGTGGGAGTTGGGCGACCCGACGAGCTGGTGCCGAATGTGCGGGGTTGACGCGTGGGGCTACGACGGACTGTAGCGCGCGGGCGAACCTGACGGGCACAAGAGGACTAAGCGGAGTGACAACTTCATGGGTTGGTGCGTGACAACGGACTGTCCGCATCGGAGAGAGAGAGAGTTGAGGTTGACGGACGTGGAGTTGTGATTTTCTTTGTCTTTTCCTTTGCTTTTGTATATAAGTTTTGGTATCGGCTCGGGCAGTTCGCCTTTATTTTCCTTCGGCATCTTTGTCTCGACGTTAGCCCGTGCATGGTGTCCTACTCAGTCTCGATCCTTCCTCTTTTGTGTATATTGGATGGACGAGTTCTGATGGAATGATATGCTTGTCGTTTTTGCCTAATCATCATTGTCGCCTGTCACTTTGATTTGTTGTCGTCATGATAAGAGTTCGATGTGGTTGCGGTGTCTGATGTGTGCGATGTCATTTTGCGTGATCGAAAATGATTGTTGGTTGCGGGCTCACTGACTGATTGGATTGTTGGGTGATTGTCTCCGCCCCATGGCGATTTTGCATATAGAACTTAAACCCTCTTGCATGAGAATCGGGTGACGGATATGTGTGTGATCGAACACCTCGTGTGCACACGTGTAAGCGCGACCTACACGTGTCCACACGCGGTCGATTCACGATCACTGACGGACTTGGCACCTTCGGCATCAAGATGATTGCGGACTTTTCCCTTTGCAAGGGTTTGTGCACACGCGTGTAAACCCGGCCGAAAGGGACGAGGCCTACACGCGTGCCTGCAAACCTACACGCGGGCTATGACAACGTTCTTGCTGAAATGACAAGATGTCGCGGGATCCGGAGTACCGAGAATACTGGGAAGAACAGCTCAGGCTGCGGGGGAATTTGAGACATCCGGAATTCCCCTGTCTAACCGAGAACGACCGACTGTGTGCCAGGGACTTTCACCGCGCCATAACCAGCGACCCCAGGGGCCTCGACTACCCGACTACTTATAACACGCAATATTTCATATCCCCCGACTTCGTCGACATCGCTACCAATTTCCCTCCCTTCCATCTCCTCCTCCCATACCACCAACTCACGGTGGTACCGTGGAATTCTATAGCCCCATATTGGCCCCACACGCCGTACAGAAATTGCAGACGGCGCGGCAACTGCCGAGCCTCCGGAAGTACGGAGCCTAACCAGAACGCGCGACGTCAATCGCCACGTGTCCGCACCCGTAGGTCCGACCCATAGAAATCGCAACCCGCGCGAACGGACCTCTCCCGAACCGCCACGGGCAGGTCGGATGGCCCCAGGACGCACTGCGCATGCCATCTGCCTTATGCTGCGCGACATCAACCGCCATCAGACCGAAAGTAACCCGTCCCTTAGCCTCATTGCACCTATGCCCTTGAAACCTTGCCACAAGAGATCTTAGTTCTGACCTGGGACTCCACCCCCAATTTCCCAAAAATCCTTGGCACACCCCTTTTCGCACTTCCAGGCCCACATCCCACTCCGATCAGGAAGTCGCGCTGGGCGTGAGGTTGGGCGTCACAGAGCTGCGTGGGCTGCGGGTCACTGCATGCTTCTAATGCTCTAACCGGTCTGATGGGCAAGTACTTTGTCCAAGGGATGGAGATGGAGTCCATCAGCTCTAGGTTCAGGGTCTCTCTCCATCTTTCTTTTAGTTTGGGGTCTGGGTCTGCGGTTTGTAGGCCTAGACCATATCCGAATTTCACGTCATATTCGAATATAGTTCTTGTTCTCCCGGCATTGCCCTATTTCCAGATCCACTCTTTCGGGTCGAATTGGAAGTCCGAGATGCTGAGGTCAGGTTGGAAGATTATCCAGGGTTTGGCCTTTGAGACCCTCACTTTTCTCAGTAGGAAAGATTCTACCATCTCGCACTGGGGTTCCTTGTTGAGGATTTCCATCTCCTGGATGTTGTGATTAGCGATAGGGTAGGAGAAGAATTTGGAGAGGTAGCTGGATGCAGTGGTGCAGGAGGTGAAACGGTATGCTCTGTTGCTCGGGATTTGGGATGTGAGCATACCCCGATTTCCATGAGAAGTCGTCTCTTAGTAGGGGGAGTCACCGGGGTGGGATGCTCTGGTGAATTTGAGCTAGATTATCTGCGAGGGAGTGGCAACCTCCTAGTGTTGTTTGGAGCTCTTGTTCGGATAGCCAGTCTCCCCACTCTTCTCCCCATAGATGTTTTACCTGCCACACTCCTTTTTCCACCCAGGATAGCCATCTCCGGTCTTTTGTGCATAATGACCAGGGTGTACCGTCTGGGTCTTTGACCCAGGGATTGCAGAATATGGGTTGTCGCAAGGCCTCTTTTCTGTTTTCTGGTGCTCCAAAGAAAAAGCAAGAAAAAAGAAAAAGGGGTTGGGGTTACCTTCCCAATAACAGGAAAAAGGAAAAATAAGTTTAAATAACCGTTGTCACAACATTCAGAACCATTCAGGCCACAGCTGACTCCTTGTACGATCAACACCAGACTCTCCCAACCACGGTGGACTTGGGCGCTTGTGGCCCAGTGGCTATCATGCCTGTGTTGTGGTTTGTTGATCAGCGCGAACATGAGTGTGAGTCTCCTTGCAGGTGTACCACACGTGTCGGTTCTACACTCGTTTTTCTTCTTCTTTTGTGGCTCTCTTTGCTTCTCATCTCCCTTTTGTCCTTTTGTCGGACTCTTTTCGTCTCTACTCGTCTCTCACAATCTTCAAATGGGTGTCGTGAGATAATCGTGTTGACCAACACCCATTCCTGTTCCCTCCAGAGAACAC